TCCTCCTCCTGCCTCCGCCCCGGCCTCCCCGCAGCCGCAGCCCGAGCCGGCCGCTCCGGCCCCTCTGCCCCGGCGTGGTGCTGGGCTGGCAACCGGGGCACACGGCCTGGTTGTGGCAGGGGGGTGGGGCCCCGGCCTCGCCCGCAGGGAGGTGTCCCCTTCTTCGCCCGCAGGGAGAGGGAGGGACTGCACGAGCTTCCCGGAGCCGGAGCTCACCTCGTGAGCTGCTGTGAAGGGGCAGAAGCTAATGAAGTGGATTTGAGTTCACTAAAGCTGGTGACACTCTCTGTTTATGTAGAGATTAGTCCAATCTCGAGAGAGAGAGAGATTTGTGTGTGTGTACGAATAAATGTATATAGATACTAAATAAGTGCTATATAGAGACTAAGCAGGGGTGTAGGTTGTAGCCCTGTTGGTCTAAGGACATAGGCAGACAAGATTCCTTGGGTGAATTTGATATCTTTTATTAGACCAACCCAAATAGTTGAAGGAAGGTTCAGCAGCAATGGTGTGTGCTCTTCCTGGATACATTACAATCTGCCTGGCAACTGACTCCCCAGCCCAGCCGCTGGCTTCTTTACTTTTCATTCCATCCCATCCAGGAACTGCTGAAGCTTCCTTAGCCTGACGAAGGGTTTTTGAACCCGAAAGCTTGCTTAATAACTTTTCTCCAGCTATTTGGGTTGGTCTAATAAAAGATATCAAATTCACCCAAGGAATCTTGTCTGCCCATATAGAGACTAAGTGCCATATGTATATATAAAGAGAGCGAGAGAGACACTAAGTGCTCTATACATATATATTTGTCTGTGTGCACACAAATAAATATATATAAATTACTAAATAAGTACTATATAGAGACTAAGTGTCATCTGTATATATATATATATGTAGAGAGACACTAAGTGCTATATATATAAATATATATATTTGTATGTGAGTAGAGACTAAGTGCCATATGTATTTGTGTATATGTGTGTATACACACACATAAATATATAGCACTTAGTCTTACTTAGTCTCTATATAGGCAGACAAAGTTCTTTGGGTAAATCCAATATCTTTTATTAGACCAACTCAAATAGTTGGAAAAAATTCTTCTGTGCAAGCTTTTGGGTACAGGTTTCTCTTGCTTTATGCTGTACGTGTGTTCCTGGAAAATGGCACATAACTCAAATTTGCATAAAGAGAACCCTCTTTACAACATAACTAATAGGGATACATTCCAAGACCTCGACTGTGCTGACCCCCAGACCCATTTCTACCACTTTTACAAGATAGTTTTGGTACTCGCCAACAGCAAACAGTACATACAAGCACAGGGTGATGGTGAATGTTACCATAATGGATGGCAACTAGAGAAACACATGTCGCACACAATGAGCTAGAAGCACAGATCCACACAGAAGACTATATTTTAGTACACGTCCCTCCCACAATGCACTGCACAAAGCAGCTGACTGTGGGCTTCCACCATACTAATCACGTAAGAGTGAATTTACCTTGCATATAACGAATTTTTGATATAAACAGGGTCATCACATAAGAGCAAATCTGCACATACAGAACCCACATAAATCAAGGGAAACTTGTACAAATACAATTCATCAGGCTGAGGAAGCATCCGCAGGTGTTGGTCTGTGCTCTTCCCGGATGGACTTCTTTACCATCTGTTCCATCCAGGAAGAGCACAGACCAACAATACAATTCATCAGGCTGAGGAAGCATCCGCAGGTGTTGGTCTGTGCTCTTCCCGGATGGACTTCTTTACCATCTGTTCCATCCAGGAAGAGCACAGACCAACTGCTGATGCTTCCTCAGCCTGAAGAAGGGTGTTTGTACCCAAAAGCTTGCAAAGAAGAATTATTTCCAACCATTTGAGTTGGTCTAATAAAAAATACCAAATTTACCCAAAGAACCTTGTTTGCCTATATCCTTAGACCAAGACGGCTACAACCCATACCTTAGTCTCTAGATAGCACTTATTTAGTTTCTCTTCCTCTCTATAGCACTTTATATCTAGACTATAAATATATAGACTATATATATAGGACTTCATATAGCACTTAGACTAAGTGCTGTATTGAGAAACTGAAGTGCTATATATATATATATATATATTTGTTTATATATAGGCTAGATAAGTGCTATAGAGACAAAGTGCTATATATATAAGTGCTATAGAGAGGGCAACTACACGTTCATTAATGTGCCATAATTACAGCACGTTAAATTTTAGTACCTATAACAACAGGTACTAACTTCACGTGCTGTAACTAGCACTACTGTGCATTAGCACAAACGAACACTTTGTGTGTGATGCTTAAAGTTTATAGACTAATTACACATTAGCACATTAGCGCAGTTTTTGCCAGCCGTGCTAATGCTCAGCAGAGTTGGTCCAATGGGCACTGAATATCTCATATAGACGCACCCAGTGAGATACTAAATAAGTGCTATATGTATGTATGTATGTATGTACCAAATAAGTGCTACAGAGAAATTAAATAAGTGCTATATATTATATGTATGTATATAGAGAGAGACAAAGCCTAGTAAGTGCTATAGAGGGAGAGAAAATAAATAAGTGCTATATAGATTTATGTGCATGTGTGGAGAGAGAGAGAGACTAAGTTTTATAGAGAGAGACTAAAACAGTGTTGTGTGTGTATGTATATATATGACTAAATAAATGCTAGAGAGACTAAATAAATTATATATAAACACACACACATATATCTTATTTAGTCTATAAAAGTGCATGTTTACCCTGCCTTCTGACTGCCTGCACACTAACACAGCTAACCACCTCTCTTACCAACCTGTTTTTGAAATCCACAACCAGGTGTTCCCCACTGCAGAGTGGCTGTACGGAGCATGATATTGTTAGCAGCACTCAGATTTTAATATCTATCCTAGTGGTTCTCAACCTTTTTAGACCCAAGGCACCCCACAGAAAAGTCCGTCTCTTAGTTTCACTTGGGTTTTTTTGTTGGGTTTCTTTTTTAACTACAGAAAAATACCAGAGCAATTTTTCTGTTGCAAAGAACTCAAAAAGACCACAGGTCAAAATTCATTTAACACTATTGATTCCTATTTGAAATCTGTGGGTTTATCTTGTGAATTATGTCTGTACACCTCAGTGTTAAAATTTCATGGGACCCCCATGACTCTTGAAAGGCTCTCAAGGCACCCCAGTGTGCTGTAGGACCCTGATTGAGAATCACTGCCGTCTCCCTTCCTGAGTCAACCTGCTCAGGTTAAAAGCACTACAAGATTGCAATGTGATTTCTTGTGTGTGGAGGGGAGTTGTGTTAAGTGGAACTGTAAAGAAGATGAGGCCAAGGAGGGCTAATACACACAGAGTTTGGTTATCATAATCATAAATACATTGGTTTAGAAATAAATGTAGTTTAAGTGACATAACTCCCTAGTGTACCACTTACTATGTCTGTTTCTTAACAGTTGCAGCATCACAAAAAGTGTTTGGACAAGACCTAATCCTTTAGAGTTAAGAGGTCTTAGAGGCTTTGTCTGCACTGGAGAAACTGGGCCCATGTTAACACGATATGCTGAACATAGTTTGCCTTTACTGGAAATGAGGTTCATGCATTTAAACATGTTAGCTGGCCATGAAGTGATCTGGAATTCTTTCCAAGGGCCTCCTTTCCTCCACATACCAGGAAAGCGTGTTACTCCAAATCAAATCCTGCTCACAATCCGTGATATTGTACCAAAGGTATTTTGCATCCATTCTTTTTTCAGTGCATCTACTGTCCATGTACATAAAACTTCAACAAAATCTTACATAATTCAGTAATGCTTTTAAATGACTGGTGATCTTCCTTTAAAAAAAAAAAAAAAAAATAGAAATCACCTTATATACACAAACCTGTATAAAGCAGCTGTATAAAGCAAGCTGTGCCATTGAGGTTCCTTTTTGTGGTTTATTTTATAATACAAAGATACAACCCAATGTTTACAGGGTTAAATAAACAAGAGGTCATTTTGCCCATTTAATCTTTTCTCTCCCATCCTCTGCTTGTAAGTGTGTTTAGACTTACCTCTAAAGATAAGGTACTTACACAGGTATAAGACTATAGAGCACCAGACCATCATTCAGAAAGGTAATAATTATGTGATACCCTATTTGCAATTGCAGAACAGCAACCTTTTGTGCTATGAAGGTACCTTGAATTATTTGTTTGCAGTGAGATCTAACGAGCAAAGTGTGTTTCATATTTCAGATGTCACTAGACTAAGAACCTGTTCAGATTCAGAACAGGAGAGCTTCTTACGTCTTAATAAGAAAATGCATTTAGTATCTTTCTGTATAGATGTCCACTTGCACATAAATCTTCAGCATAACTTGCTAATGAAAGAATTTAAAAAAAAAAAAAAAATCAAGCTGCTACTGTCTGACGTATACCTTCATAAAACAAAAGTGCACTCTGTTTTAAATGCAAATAAGATATTTTATAACCTGTATAATGTTATCTTACCAAATGTTAGCTTAGTGTGTTACAAACAAGCCTTTCCTTCAAGGAGAATTACACTTTGTCACTGATCTTTACAATCCTCTCAGTCGGTTCAGTTTAAGCAAAAGCTATACTGCAATAGTTACATTAATTTTTCTGAGCCTGTATCACTCCGATTTTTTCTACATATTTGGAAATGTTTTATTTACTTACTTTCAAATGTTTATGTGATTTACAAATTCTCATGTGATTTTATATTTGGAAATAATGTTAAGACACTACAACTGTCATATTTCCTACTTCTATTTATAACATTGCCTCTCCCAATTCCCATTTCTGAGCATACTATTTAGATACTTGACATTTTCAGCTGCTCACAGCTGGCAGTTTACTGCAGAGATTCTTTATTCTTTTGTATTTTAGTTGGAAAAAACTCTGGGCATCTCTGTATCCAGGGTGATCATATTTAGTTAATTTTCTTAGTAACAAAAGAAAGCATAGTTTATGCAGAAAGTGGTACAATTAATAGTCTCCATGATCTTCCAGTAGCAAACCTTCATTTGAAGCCATTTTAAAGTAGGGTGCCTAGAGGGGTGAAAGTCTGGACAGGCAAAGACCTGAGTTTCTTTCCATCTCTGGAATTAAAAAGAGCCAAGAGAAGTTTGCCTTTCCCTATTTTGCCCCCTGGAAAGATTATAAAAAAGAGCCAGAATGCATTTGTAGCCACATTCATAAAGATAAGATTCTGGTGGAGGAGAATAAACTCGATCTTTTTAAAAATCAAGGAACCCAAACTTTCTAATATGCTATATGGTCTCCAAGCCTAGGGACAGACATTCAAAAAGCCTGAGCCTGAATTGATTCAATCTTTGCAGGTTAATCTAACCTTCAGAGGTTGAACCAATTTGCAAGTGGATAAACATTCACTTTTGATTCAGGAAATGCAGACATATGCCTGCAGTGGCTCAGGCCAAAAGCTGGGGGGAGGGGGGGGGCACTAGAGCACGCCGAAAAGGGGGGGGGGGGGGGGGGGGGCACTAGAGCACGCCCTCCTTGCCCATCTACAGGGCTGAACTGAGGGGGGTGTGGCCAGGCTCTGGCAGGATGGTATGATTAGGAAGGGGTTGAATCCTCACCCTGGCCTGCACAGTCCCCAGCCAGGGTGTGCCTGGAGGTGGAGGGGGACAGGGAGGTGGAAGCAGCAGTCACCAGGCTTCCCTCCCCCCCACTCGCTGCTCAAGGGGCAGGGAGTGTAGCCAGCCCCCAGCCCTCAGCTAGCACTTTGAGGCAAAGGGCTGGGTGGGGGGGGAGGGAAGGGGAGGGAGGACTGCATGCATCTGTTGATGATACTGAGCTTTTCAAATCTCCCTCTCCCTGCTTCTTCATACTGTCTGCAACAAACAGACAGGCATTGCAAACCAGGTCACTTCTCCCACTTGTCTCTGTCCCCTGTTGAACACTGACAGTAAGCCAGCAGCTAGCAAGGAGCCGATCCCAACACAAAGCTTATCAGCCCATCAGGAAAACAAAGCCTCTGTCTCATTAGTTCAAACCCTTCCTAAACATGTTTTTGCAAAGCATTTGTAAGGAAGAATGGAGGGACATTACCAGCTGACCTGCTCACTAGGGCTGCCAAAAAGCCCTAAGTGGACACTGTTCTGTCTGCCTTTGTTCCATTGAAATTGGAGACACACACACACAGACACCTTTCAGCATTAACTAGCATGGGGGTGTGTCACGACTGACCAGATGCTGGCTTGGGTCCCTGCTGTGGGAAAGGGGAGGGAAGGAGGGAGCGGGGATCCCTGCTTGAGCAGCTAGTGGCAGGGGGAAGGGGGTGAGGCAAGGGGAAGCCAGCCAGACACTGCTGTCTCCTGGCTGTAGTCTCCACCTCCTTCTCAGCCAGCCAAAGCTTTGACTAGGGAAGAGAGGGGTGGAGCCAGCCCTGCTTTCTGGAGCAGACACCCCAGCCCAGGACTGAAAAGCATGCTGGGGGACTCTGATTTAATTTGAACCAGGAAGGGGTCTGGGACAGAAGTTCCACAAACCAGTATGACCCAAATCAGTTAAGTCTGATAGATACTATATTCAACCAGGTTTATCTTAAACCAGTTTCAGCCATTTTGAAGCTGGTTCATGTGCGCTGAACTTCTGTTCTGTTACAGGTTTAAGCTAGTTTCTGATCACTTAAACTGGTTTATGTACAACTTCTGTCCCTATCCCAAATGTTCTCTCAATCCTGCATCTATTATAACCTATAACCCAGGTGGACTTCTATATAATAAGCTAGTCAATATGCATTTCTGGTTTAAGTTCACTTACCAAAATGTAGCTTTGAAGGGTATATGAGAAACCACTGGAACCAGAGACAACATCAATTAACTTAGAATTAATTTAAAACCAAATAGTCAGCCACAATATTCAACAAGACTGCCACTCCATTTTTTAAATTTGTTTCATTGAAACAGATGAAAAACCTTATAAAGCACTACTTTCTTTGGGTAGTGCATGTAATCACCTGAAGAAAGCAGCAGCATCTTCAACCCTTTATTATTAGGTCAAAAGAAAGGCTTACTAAAAAAATAAAGCAGGTTGTTTTTGAAACAGTTTTTCAAAAACAGTTTTTGAAACAGTACAAAAATAAAACTTTATTTACATGTACTGACACAACTCTCAGAGTTCAAACAATCAATGTTCAGATTCAAATAACAATGACATTTATTAATAAAAAGAAAAAAGGAGTGGCTTCTTTGGAAATGTTTAACTACAGAACCTGAGTAGCCCCAAAGTTCCAGGAATGGCAGCTAATTTATAATAACCCCCCCCCAAAAAAAGTTCCTATTGGGAATCTTATACATTTTCAAAATTAAAAAAATTTTGGATGTGGCAATAGGGAGCTAAATATTCAGTTACCACAAGAAATGGACATGAGAAGTGTCTTGGCTACAAGGGAGACTTCTTCTGAATTTCTTCTACTGTATGTTAGTTTGCATTTCCTCCTTGCCATCTCAGAGAGGTTTCCTTTGAGTTCTTTTCCTAATAGAAATAAATGCAATATAGACATTAATTTTTCTTTGTGTTTGGTTTCTTACCTGGATATTATTAAATTAAATTATTTACTCCTAGTTTTAAAAAGTGAAATACATGAGACTCTCTAGGCCCACAAGTTTCTCCATTCAGCCAATGTATTTCTTTCCTGCTCTAAAGTGAAAGATTACTTCAGCTTCTGTCTCTATTCAATTCACAGTTTTCCCTTACCTACCAAAAACATGTCCATTTCTAAAAAGGAGATAAATTAGAAATGGAGTATTGTGTGGGTAACAAATATCCCTAAACATTTATGCCTCTATTTTGTAATATTTGTTTTGGTTTTCAGATTTATCAGCACAAATTTGCTCTTTTACATGCATGCACACACAATTATATTACTATATATTAAAAAAAAAATAATCCAGATATTTTGGAGTCAAATCCAAAAAGGGTTACTTTGGATGGGTGGTTTTATCTAGCTGAAAAGGGTCATTTTATAATATTTAGAGTCTTGTTTTCTAAGTGATGCTCTGAAGAAAGTTTGCCTGTTAGGTTGGAGGGTTTCATTTTTTATTGTTGTAAAAATAAATGTAAAAAAAAGAACCACTGACTATGACATTATTATTGAGATAATAAGTGTACAAGAGTCAGGAATTTAAAAGGTATTATTATTCTTACAGCTTTGCATGTAACATTTGCCCTTACAATTGACTTCATAGTTTAAGATTTACAGTACTATATGTGCACTGTGGAAACCAGAACTTTGAATTTCTCCAAAATTAGCACAGATTTCAAAACCTGTGTGAACTTCATCACTTTGTCCAAAGATATTAGAAAAAAAAAGGTGTGGAATATTGAAAAGAAAAGAAAAAATAAACCCAGTGCATGTGTTTGTATACTCAAGCTACATTAAGTTGCATGGAATTTTCATCACCACATCACAGGATGTAAGAAGTCTGAAACAACACCTGCTAGTGTGAAAAAAAAGTAGAATCAGGATATTATTAAGGGTCCTAAAAAGAGTATCTGTTTGCAGGCATCCACTAATATAGTCAATATTAGTATGAATTTGGTAAGCAAGTGCCTACCAAAAAGAAGTGCACGACTGTTTCACTTATTGTTTATCATTTACTCCATGCTTGGCAATATACATATTTTTGGACTCTGCCACTAGCTAGGTTTGGAAATTTAAAGTCCAATTACTTTGGTTATTGCACTGCAAAAGGACAATTGCTCACTTTCCCTCCCCCATACAGCAAAACAAATACAGTGATAGCTCAGACATACATTAGCCTTCCATTCCCACAACATAAAATAGTTTCAGAGCTGGGTAGAGATCAAACATGAGAGCTTCCCTGAAAACTAATTTTAAAGGAAAGTTATAAAGCACTGAAGCTACAGGTTTAAAATGAAGGTGCTTTCTCAGCTATAATTTCAGTACATGTGCTGGGAAGGTGAGTGAATAGAACAGCAGTCCATCTTCTTTTACCATCTTGCTGTGATTGGGTCCCATGCAGTCTACAAGAGCTGAAAAATATCTTGCCCATGAAACTGCTCTTCATCCCAATTTTGTTTCCTTGTCCTGATGAGGGGTCAAGTTCTCAGAAGTCTGCTATTTTTACTAATTAGTCCAACAGAGAACTTACCTTCCCTGTGTATTTGCTTTAGTTTTGTAGCAGCCTTGATAGTACAGATATACAAGAGAAGCAAGATTTATAAAGGTGAAGTATCTCTCTTATTGGACCAGCTGCACAGTTGGGAGAGATAGGGAACAACCTTTTAGATTTTAAGCAGCCTTTCTTAGATCTGGGAAAGAAGGAGCCACAGTCCAAATTAAAAACAAGTTAGAACAGTTATTTTAGTTTAACTTAATTGTGTTAATAAATTTTCTCACTTGAAAGGGAAGTGGAGGTTTCTTATGTTAGCACTTCTGAGACCGTGGTTTTCTCCTTTTCTCATGAGAATCAGTTACATAGAAGCAGTATTAGTGCCAGAGGGCCTCTCCTCTCTAAAGAGAAACAGCACATCTCCCAGTAAGTTAATAGCATGCCCTGGGTAGGGAGCGTTAAAACCCTAAATGACCAATACAATGGTTAGTCTATAGCTACAGAACAGGGCATCAGAGAGAAGAGACTATTCTTGAAGAATATTTCTTTAACTTGACTTCCCTATTTAAAGTTTCATGAAATACTACATAGCCAGAGCTCCCCCCGCAAAAAAAAAGAATGAAGCAAAGCATCTATGATAAAGTGTTATTCACATTTAAGGGTCCAAGTCAACCTAGGCACTAGAAATTTAAAGGACCAGTTGAGAGAAGAAACAATTTCATTTATTTTGAATAAATAAATCTTTTAGGTACCTTTCGCTTTGTCTACTAACAAAGCCTTCTCTTTATTAGTGTGTCCTTGATTTCCTTTAGATGGGCTTCTTTACCTTCATAATTCTCTTTCGTCTAAACTTTTTATAACCCTCTTCTTCCTTACCATGAAAATCTTTGGTATAACCCTATTAAATCTACTGACTAAATTCTTTCAATGCTTTTTAAGGTGCCAGAGTAGCACAGGTGTCTTAAATATAGTCCTAAATAGCAATATAGTGATTTAAATTCCACATGAGGACTTCCCCCTGTAAGGGAAAAATATTTCAAAGTAGTTGTGTTTACAGTGATTATTGCTCAACTCTTAGCATTTCATAACAATGCATATAGCAAATACAGATCTTTAGATGGGTACTTCCCTTTTTCATGCCCTTATAGCAAGATATTTAGCAGAATTTGCATATTCTGACAGGGCCGCACCATGAGTACTTCTGGTATGGCCTCAAACCTGCAACTTCTGGGCTGTCAACTGTATGCCTTAGCACCTGCCATCCTAGCCCTAGAAGCTACTTGATAGTATTAGTGTGTTATGAGTAAAATTATGGAGGTGAGGGTTGTTTGTGCATAAAGTAGAACAGGGAAATAGTCTTTTGAGTCCAAAACTTTGTGGATACCTTGATTATTTGATTATTTTATGTATACAGTCTAATAGCCCTGCTGTCCTAGGAAGTTAAGAAGCTAACTGAAAATTAATTAGCATGTTTACCATTCTGAGGTAAGTAAACTAGCTTTGAAAAAACATAACTTGGTATGTTAATTGCTCTGTGCCCTCTTTACACTATCATATGATCTCAGTTTCTAAGTCCAGTCTATCCTCTCAACAAATGGGAGAACTTTAAAAATGCATTGAAAAGTCACCTGCATATAACAAACAACTGAAATGTGGCAAAAGTTTCCTGTTTGATTTATTCCTTATGCAGCAATTGCCCTATTTTACTTTATCAAAACCCAACACTGTGTATACTATTTATTTTAACCCACAATCATGTTATTAACCTGCACACCTGCATTCATTCTGTCCTCAAATCACGTTAGTCTAGCGTTTAGCTTACATTGCATAGACTGACATAGCGATGGCAGCAATTTCCTTATGTTGGACATTACATAGCAGTAATTATTTCTAGGCAGAAACCTTCATAGGCTCTGAGTCTCCAAATTAACTCATGCAGCCAGGTCTCAGTGGCTGATATGGAGCAGCTTGCAAAATGAGGGATTGATAGTGCCTCAGGGAACACGTTGGATGCATGTCCTTCACATTCTAAGATGAATAGAAGAATGTTATATTTATGCAAATGTCTGTAGCATCCATTATTGAAAAGGCCCCTTGTTACTGTACAAAAAAACCCAAAAGTAGTATCTAACATGCTGCCCCTACTCCTTCTCTGGATACTTTGGTTCCTTAGCAGGAAGACAAAAGAGCAGGGAGCTCTTAAACCTTTGCTCACACTCATCTTCACCCTGGCTCTGCTCCTTCTCCTACTCAAAACTAGTGCTAGACAACGTTGCTGGCCACCCTTCACTGGTGAGAGGACTTGAAGGCAGATAAATTTTTCCCTTCAGACAACCATGATGTGGTCTATATCACAGCACAGAGCTGCATCAGTAATGAACAGAAAGAGCAACATCAAGTGAAAAACACAGCTGAAAACTGTGTTCAACGCTGCACTAAGCCCCGAGGGCACAAGGGAATCAGGAGGGCCCCATAAAAGGTATGAAGGTTTCTTAAATAATGAGGGGGGGGTGGCGATTTGCCTGTTGGGCTTGTGCTTTCACATTTGTTTCTGCTGCCGTGCGACCCACTTAAGTGCTTCAAGAAAGAAAGCTCGACTTTGTGCACAGCCCCACAGCTCCAGGACCTGAGGCCTGAAGGGAAAATGCACAGGCAGCCTGTGCCCCACACAACAGGTGTGGTGTGCTTGTAACTATGCCAAGCCACAGCCCTGAACACCACCCAGCCTTGGCCTTTTTTGGGCAAGGCAGGCCAGCTACCACAAAGCACCTGTGACCTGGGAACAAGAAAATGGACAGGGCCTAGTTTCCTGATGAAGCCAAACTCCTCTGGGCTGAGTAAATTTCCAACGACCTTTACACCGCTGCACTGCAACCACGTCTCCACTCACACCTTCCCCTTCACCTCTCGCCCTTGCATTGACACCCAGAGTGAAGCTGGTAAGCCAGCTTCAGCCCTTAACTAAGATGGCGGCACTGCCCTATCACGTGATGCCCGCCCCTTCAGCCCTTACCTAACATGGCCGCAGCAGGGAGCCACCGCCCTAACCCAGCTCAGCTTCAATTTCCCATCAGGCTTGGCAGCCGGCTTGGATTCCCTTCACAAAGATGGCGCCTAGGGCCGCTTCCCGAGCGGGGTGCGAGAAGCCGCGAAAGAGAAGCAGGACTACAGTTCCCAGGGGCCCCTGCGCGCGCGCCGTGTTAGCCGGCGCTCATGGGAGCGTGGCGCGGCGCTGCGCGGGGCGGGGCTGCAGCGGTGCCGGGGAAGCGGCGCGACGGAAGCGAGGGCA